TACAGTTAACCCTCTCCCCATGAATATGATCAACGTTGTCCACAAAGAAAATGGAGAGATAACTCAAGCCTGGGATGATGTCACTGGAAACGAGCTTGATCCTAAACTGACCGTAAAAGCACGCCAAGAAGAAATGAAACAATTCAGAAAACATAAAGTTTACGAGAAAGTGAAAGAGGAAGTATGCTGGCAAATTACAGGAAAGGCACCCATCGGAACCAGATGGATAGACATCAACAAAGGAGATGAGTTAAGCCCAGACCACAGGTCAAGGCTAGTGGCCCAGCAGGTTAAATACAATTCCAAAGAAAAGAATATATTTGCAGCTACACCTCCACTGGAGGCACAGAAACTGCTCTTTTCAATGGCAGTTACCGAAGGAGTTGGATTCACGAATGGTGAGCGTGAGAAAGGATTAAAACTGGCATTCATTGACATTAAACGAGCTTATTTTTACGCCCCGGCGAAGAAATACATATTTATCAGGTTACCAGACGAGGACTATGAACCAGGTATGTGCGGAAAACTATTAAAATCAATGTACGGAACAAGGGACGCTGCGAGCAACTGGGAAGACTGTTACATGGACTTTGCTAACGAGGCTGGGTTCAAGAGCGGAGTTCCGTCACCATGCGTATTCAAACATGAAATTCGAGCGTTATGGTTGACAGTTCATGGAGATGATTTCACGCTATTAGGAGGTGACCATGATCTCGATTGGTTTGAAAATAAAATAAAGGAGGAGTTTGAAGTAAAAGTGAGAGGACGACTTGGACCAGGGAAGGAGGACATGAAAGCGATCAGGATTCTTAACAGGATTGTGGAATGGACTGAGGAAGGATTGAGATATGAGGCAGATCAAAGGCATGCAGAGATAATTGTGAAAGAGCTTGAGCTAGAGGGAGTAAAAGTGAGGACTGAGGTACCAGGTGAGCGCATTCCAGTTGAAGAGGGAGATGAGGTGGAACTTTCGCCCAACATGACTAAGAGATATCAAGCATTGACGGCCAGAGCGAATTATTTAGCACAAGACAGGTCAGACATACAGTATTCTGTGAAGGAACTCGCTAGAACCATGTCAAAGCCAACGATGAGTTCTTGGAAAGGTCTGGTCAAATTAGGAAAGTATTTAAAGTACCACAGCAGAAGCAGCTATGTGTACCAATATCAGGAACAGCCCCGAGAATTAACGATTTGGACTGACACGGACTACGCAGGATGCAAACGAACCAGGAAGTCTACGAGTGGAGGAGTAGTGATGTGGGGTAAACATCTTATAAAGTCTTGGAGCACGACTCAAAGCGTAATCGCATTATCGTCAGGGGAAGCAGAGTATTATGGACTAGTGAAAGGAGGATCAGTTGGTTTAGGACTTCAGGCAGTGCTGAGAGATTTTAACTTGGAAGTTGAGATCACCCTGAAGAGTGACGCCACGGCTGCGATTGCCATTGCGAGCAGACGAGGCTTGGGGAAAGCGAGACATATTGAAGTGTGTCAACTGTGGTTACAGCAGAAGTTAAAGGAGGGAGTACTTCGTATCGTGAAAGTAGGAACACACGAGAACACAGCTGATGCATTAACCAAGTATGTCAGTCGTGAGAGCATGAGCGCGCACCTACGAAACACGAATCAATGTGCATTAACAGGTAGACATGGTCTTGCGCCAGCCACCGAATGTTGATATTCGCAGCTCATTTCTGTCAAGCAAGCTGCAGCGATTAAAGCCTTCTCCACCTATTACCTCTTACTCTTGGGCGTGAACGAAAGCATGGTGGCTCCTCAGGTCAACCTCACCATCAACGGCTCCATGGTCGACCAGAGCCCGCCTGGGGATGGGCCGGTTACGCGTGAGAACCTCAACCGCCGTGTTGACGACATCGTCCACGTTGCTCACGCGTTTACCGTGACCCTCACTAACATGGCGATTAACTTTCACGGGGCCTACGATAAACACGTTGACGAGGTGCAAAGGGCCGCCGATGACATGGCGAAGAGGATCGAGGACTTAACGCGGCAGAACGATGCGTTGATCCAGGCCAGTGACGACGTCAACGAGAATCTCAAGAGGGCGCAAGACGAGATTAACGCTCTGATGGCGACGATTACGGAGCTGAACATCCAGAATCGTGACTCGGGGGTTAACACGGCGGAGAATGCGACCAAGTACAGGCGCATCAACGACAACATTGGTTACCTCCTGAACACCGCCAGACGCCTTACCGAGAACATCACGCCCCTGCAGGACTTCGAGGGCAAACGAGATGCGGCACTACGCATGTTGGTGGGAGTTACCGAGAGACTTGAAGGTTTACAGAGGTTCTTGAATGACCCGATTAGTCCCTCGGTTACCATCATCCCGCAGGTGCCTCCGCCGTTGCCCGAGCTGCCCCCAACGGCAGCAATCGCCAAGGCGCCACCCGCTGCCGTTGCCGCAGCGGCCGAGGCTAGCCAGCCTCGGGCCCGAGCTGCCGCGGCCTCGGGCGCGCCCCCGGCTCAGGACCTTACCGGCACCACACCCAAGACCGGAGGGTTCGGTCGGTCCGTGTCGCCGAATAAGATCCCTCAGTCAACGGCGCAGCAACCTGTTTACAAGAAAGCACCCAAGGCTATGCATGAGCGTAAACGGGAACTGGAAGAGTTACTGCAGATCGGCATGAAGATGGATGAAGATCGTGCGCAGAGCAGTCAACATGACGAAGCACCAAAAGGTCCTGCCCCTGTTGTGAACGTGAGGGCGCCCAAGCCGCCTCCTCCGGGCCTTGGCGAGTCAAGTGCGTCGAGCAGTGTTAGCGGCATGAAGCCCCCGCCTCCGGGGCCCAAGAAGTTATCGGTCCAGCACGTCCCGCCACCGCAGCCTCAAGCTGTTAACCGCACGAACGACCAGCTTGCGGCATACTCTCGGAACATTGCCAGGGCTGTTTACCGCCCACTGTACCACGTCAACGTCCACATGCCCATGGTGAACGACAGGAGCGAGGACCACGACGTCAACTACAAGGTGGAACCCAATCCCAGGGAGGTAGTCGCATTAACGATGAAGACGCGCGACAACTGGCGCAGGTTTGAGGGCAACTTCGTCGGGCATGTGGCGAAGGCGGGATTAACGACTCCTGGCGGTCGGTCCATTCAGGGCAACACGGGGCGGGAGCTTAACGACTACGATGAAGTGTTCGTTGACATCTACGGCCAACATGCTTACGGTTTCATCGGCTACTCCGTGTTGAAGGGCCCGAGCAGCTGGAGATCTCAGTTGACGGAGAAAGAGTTGGCCAAGCACGACGAGTGGGTTGACGCAGTGGGGCACGTACAGTCCTTGTTTGACGACGAATACGTGCCACCACTCCACGTTGACGATCTTCACTCATCGTGGTTTGACGTTCACAGTTGCCCAGACACGCAGGTGTGCGTCAACGAGGTGCCGGAGATGAACGAGAAGCAGCTCAACGGCCTTCTCTTAACGTGGGCAGGGATGCTGCCCCACGGCAGCCCCACTGTGGTCTCTGTTAAGCATCTGGTGGAAGACACTTATGGGCCGCATGGTTACATCTCGACTGGAGTTACCGTGATTCGGTTTGCGACACCTGACCTGGCCAAGCTCTATTGCCGTTACATGAGCGGGCTCCAGGTGCATTACCGCAACTACTTCATCGAGGACCTCGAGGTCAGGAGCGCCGAGGAGTTAAAGGGCAGCGTCAACAGGCCTCCAGTCTACTGGCACCAGACCATCCTAGATGTCGCCCTTAACGATCAGGGGTCCATGAGGGCACTTTACCGTGACAATTGGCCTGCTGATCATATCACCGAGCGTAAAAGCGACCATCGTGAGAAGCTCTGCTGGTTTGGGTGGTTACCGTGCGACGACTTCCCCAACTGGCTCACCGATCCGACCTGGACTGTGAACCCGTTTACCGGCGCTGCAGTCGAGGAGCACCTCCGCAACAATCCAGGTGGTAAACCTTTGTTGAAGGCCCCCCACGCCAGTTTCTGGAGGGCCATCGGCACCTACCACAACATTGTTGACGGGTCCATCAAGAGCTTTGACGAGGGGTGCTGGCTCGATGACGAGGAGCGGATTAACGCATACCTGGACACCGACTATTACAGCCCGACGCAGGCCCTTAACAGGGTGTCGTCCTACGCAGCGGCCAGTGTGGGGCATCGTGGGTTACCGAGGTCCAGGGGCGCACGCGCCCCGTCAGTGAGGCGCCCGCGCCGCTCGTGAACGGCGACCAGTGACCGGCATGCTGTTCTTTTACGCTCTCCCTCATCTCCCCTCTTAACTCGGCTTAACAATCGTGTTGCAGTGGCTTGTTGAGCTGAATCTGTGTGCATGTGCATCTTTTGTAGTTACCGCAGGTACTGGCGAATAAAAAGCGAAAGCAATCAAAATCATATAAATGCTAGCCTGTCGTGTAAGTTTTGGATGCTACGTTTAAACTTGCAATCGCAAGAACGTTTACTTGAGCTCATGTTGCATGTCTGAGAGACGTGGTGCTCGTAAGCGTTGTCACGAGATCTTTCGAATTCGGCATTATAACGATTTGTGTGCAGCATGCTGCTTGGTTCAACCTGTCTTTGCGTTTGAAGACACCTCCCCGTCAGCCAGTGCGGACTGGCGTCCGAGGGGGGGTGTTAACATGCAAGCGTTCAGGTGACTGGGGAGGAATAGTAACCCTGTTGCCTTTGGCTCAAGTGTTTAACGGCTGAAGCTACTGAGACCTGCTTTGCCGTTCGGGAGTATAAAGGTGACCGATCATTATCATTGTTGCCAGGCTCCCGTGCAGAACCCTCCTCGGGGTTTTGCACCAGTGTGGCGAGGAGGGCGGGGGGGGGGGGGAGGGAGAGGTGGGCGGCCTCCCCGCCTGCCTTCCGCCCTTCTTCCCATGCCCGCCGGCGCCCCCGGACGCTCTGCTCCCAGAGTGGCCTTCCCCTGCCTCCTGCCCGCCTCCTGCCCGCCTCCTCGGACGCCCCCGCCGCCTGCGACGCCCCCGCCTCTGCAGGACGAGAGGGAGGGCGAGATCAGCCTCCTCGAGCACTGGAAGGTGCGGGCCGACGCCCTGTTCGCGCCCGCCGCTCTGCAGCCCGCCGGCCAGGACTCGTGCCGGGGATGCCCCCGCCCCTGGCGGCTCGCTGCTCTGGCCCTGTCCACGCGGCTGAGTGTCCCTGGCTCAGTCCTCGGCTTCCTCGTCTCAGGCTGCCGCTGTGTGTGCTCCGTCTGTCCGCGCCCGTCTCCCTGTGACCAGTTGCCTTTTCTGGGTCCTCGCTTGGCCTTTTCCGTCCCACCATGTCATGTTCTGGCCTAACTTGTCTTGCCCCATCCTGTCCTGTTACCCTATTTGTGGGTCTGCTGTTTCTGCACGTCTGCCCCTCTGCCTCTGTCTCCCTATTTCGCTGTTTGTGTCTTGTCGTTCCCCTGTTTCTGGGTCTCGCAGTCTCTCTGTCTCCGCCTCGCTTCGCCGGTCCCTGGGCCCTCACCCGTGTCCCCGTTCCTGTCCCTGTCTTGGTCTCTGCCTCTGCCTCCGTCTCCGCCTCACTCCCTCTGTCGCTCTCTCTCTCTCTCTCTTTGTTTCTCTGTTTCTCTCTCTCTCTCTCTTTCTCTCGGTCTCTCTCTCTGGCGGCTGCGTGCGCTCACCAGGGCCCGCGTCCGCCCCGCCCTGCACGTGGCGGCACCGGGGCACCCAGCGGCGGACGCGCACCTCTCCCCCCTCCTCCTCGAGCGGCTTCGGGCCCTGCGGCGGGCTCTCCCGTCCCCGAGATCCAGCGCCGAGCAGGCCGCGTCATCGTGGGCGAAAACATGTCCGTATCCGCCGCCTCGCGGGCCGTACAGTCGGGGCCCTGAAGAAGGAACCCTTTTCGTTGGGGAGGGGCTCCGCGTTCCTTAAGTGTTTCGCAGCTTGCCTCAGGTTGTCCTTAGGTTTTCGATCGGAAATCGAAGTTTAACTTATGGAAAAAGGGGCCTCGCTCCTTATTTAGGGTTCCTTAGGTCAACGCCCCGACTGTATCCTCAGGACCTCGCCCCGGAGTCCAGCCCGCGAGGGTGCGGATGCTATGATAGGTTCGCCGTTCGTGGAGGCACGGGTGAACGCATCAGGGCGTGGCGGCAACGTGTGCGCTGGCGGGACGGTGGTGGGCTCGGCGTCCAGAAACGAGACGGCCTGCTGCTGGTTGCGCCACAGGTTGCCCAATCGGCGGCCGAACGTGAAAGTGACTGCTGACGCGAGCGACCAGTCAGGCAGACATTCAGTCAGCAGTCACTTCTCTCCGCGGGAACGGATCTGGGGTACGCCTGGAATGATGGGTCGATCGTTGTGTGCCCATCGCCGCACGGCTCGCCATGAGTTGTTGTCGCGTGCCGGCTGCAGCTGTTGGCTCAAGGCCCAAGGCTGCTGCACCTGTCCTCGAGCGCGCCGCCGGCGCCGACACCGCGCCGACCCTCCTCTGCCGCAGCCGCCCCCGCCATGACCCCTGCCGCCGGCAGCTGTGCCGCGCCCCGGCTGCCCCCCTGGCAGGTGCCGCCCCCGCCGCCGCCTCCCGCCGCCCCACCGCGGGACCCGAGCCCCAAGGACTCCTGGCGGCCCAGGCTGCGGCTCCGCGCCTCCACCGCCACGACCTGTGCCCCGTCGGACGGCGGCCTGAGCCCATGCGGGCGTGGCAGCGACGGCGAGCCGGCGGAGGCGGCCGGCCCGCCCGGCGGCGGAGGCTGCGCGCTGCCGCTCGTGGTGAGCAGCCTGGCGTGGCACCTGCGCGTGCGGAACACGTTCTGGGAGCTCCCCGTCGAGCCCGAGGGGGGCAGCCCGCGGTGCCGGCGGCGCCCGCGGTCCGCGCCGCCTCCTGGGCGCCCCGCCGAGGGAGCGGAGCGGGGCCCGGAGGAGCCAGGCTCGAGCGAGCACGTCGGCGACGAGGGTCTGCCCTCGCTCGGGTCCCGGCGGCACGCGACCGGCGCGTGCCAGCCCTGCGCGTTCCTGTACACCAAGGGCTGTGCGAGCGGCGTGCTGTGCCAGTTCTGTCACCTCTGCGATGAGCAGGTGCTGAGCGCGCGGCGGAGGGCCCGCTTCGGCGAGAAGCGCGCTGCGTGGAAGGAGTTTCGAAAGCAGGACCGCCGCTTGGCCGCTGCGGAGCGGCGACAGCGGCGACCGCTGGCCGGTGGCCGCCGCGGAGATGGGGCCGCTCAGCTCGGTGGTCCCTGAGGATGGGATGGGATCCAAGAGTGGCTTCACGTTGTTGGAGGCACCTCGCCCTTGGGACCCCATACCTCAGGGCCCCATCTTTGAGCCACCGGACCAGCGCGCCGCCCGCTCGCGACGTCCGCTGCGGGCTCTGGCAGCGCGACGGTCTGGGGCGGGATGGGGGCTCCCGCTCGCTAAGTCGGTCGGGCCGCCGCCCTATGCCAGCAGCGATCTGGCCCCTGAGCGTCTCCATGGCGACTGGTTGCCGAAATTCATGAGTTCAGTCATCCTCGCCTCCCCAGTCGCCATGAGACGCTCAGGTGCCAGATCGCTGGACTGAAGGATCTCAGGGAGCGTATTTTTGCCGTAGTTGCTTCTGCCACGTCGCGCGAGAGTTTGCAGTCGTACGCGCTGTCTCCTCTGCGTGCTGGTGATCCCCAGACGATTGATGCCGTATCCGTCGACCTCTCGGTTGAGATTGCGGTCGGCCCCCTTCGAGTAGGAGAAGGAGCATAAGGACGATGATAGGTAGGAGGAAGATGAGGCGGAGGAGGCGGAGGCGGATGATGAGGCTGAGGTTTCTCTCGGGGTCCTCGTCGACTGTCATCGGGCCTATTGGAGCCCTGATGGGCCGTCCCAAGGGCCTCTAGTTAGCTTCAGGGGGGGCTTCTTGCCCAGTCTTGGCATTCTTTGGGAGCGATCTTGGGCCGTCTTGGCGATCTCTGGGGCCATCTTGGACCCGCCCTGGATATCGTTTTTTGGCAACCCTGGGGCCCTCTTTGGGCCCTCTTAGGCCATCTTCTCGGGCAATTTCGAGATGTCCTTGGGCCTCTGTCGGGCCATATTGGGGCCCTCTTACGCTGTTCTGAGACCATCTTGAGCCGAAGAGAAAGAAACGCAATTGTGATCTACAAGCTGAACATGTGTTTTGGATGTCTGGGCATCCCTGGGGGATTCTCTTGTGGACCCTCTTGGGGCTTCTCATACGCTTCTTGGAGCCTCCTAGAGCCTCATGGGACGTCTTCCAAGCCTTGTTGTAGTTGTACGTGACAGGCTGCCACTGGCCTGGACGCCCTCGGCCGGAGGCCGAGAAAAATAGAAGGCGGTGAAGAAACCAGCCAAGAGTCGCCTAATGCAACTCCCGGCCGGAGTCTAAAACAACGGGGCGACCAACAACAACTCTTGAGGCTGCGCAGTTGTGGGAACCATACTTAGTCCGGGCATGGCCCGAGCGTGCGCACTGGTCAAGACCCACAAGAAGTGGTGCTGCCATTCCGGCTGACCAGCCGCTCCCGCCGCCTCCCATCTCTCCCCCGTTGCTGCCGTCGCGGATGCCATGGGCAATCTTGATACCCATGCCTCACAATCGCCGCCGTGGAGCGGCGTGCGCAGGCGTGTGCAGGCGTGTGGCCCAGGCGTGGCCCAGGCGTGTGCACTGGTCAAGTCATCCATTACAGAAGAAGTGTCGTTGCCCTCTTCTGCTGACTGGCCTCGCCCGCCGCCTCGCATCGCCTCCTCTCCCCTGCGCTGATGCCATGGGACTGTTTTTCATTGTCCCCTGGCGAAGAGCAAAAAGCAGAGGGGCGCACCCCTGGCAACGGCTCCGCTCCGAGGTCGGACCACGACCACGCACGGGCGGCCATCGGCCGCGGCCCCGGCGTCGGCTCAAAACCAATCGAAGAACGCGGAGGTGCAGGCGTCTCCGGCGACAGGACACCTACCGCTTCTCACCCCGAAAGGAGCCCCGAGGACACATCAGGTCAGTCCCCTCCCGGAGCCCAAAGCGTCGCATCCTCTCAGGGTGGTACACCATCACGGCAGGACGTGCGGGACGGAGACGGCGCGCCACACGGGGCTCTTCCTTGTTCCCCTGGCAGGCAGCAGGCCGATGAAGGAGATGTGACTCAGGAGCAGCAAGTGGAGGCAGGCGGCGCTGACAGCGCGGAGCGCAGAGCCGACGACGCCAAGGCCAGGACAAGGCCGCTCCCCGACGGCATGCCGAGCAGGAGAGACAGCGACCCGCTCGGAAGAGGTGGCGCCCTCGGGGCCAGCAGTGTCCTGCCCCCCCTGCGTGGAAGCAGAGCGGGCCAAGCTCCTTAGCCTTGCCAGCGAGCGGGAGGCCCCTCTCGCCCCCCCGCTCCGGTGGGAGGGGCAGGGGTGCCCCGACAGGGACAAGTGGAGAGTTGTCTTGAGTGCAATGTCTTGGGGCACCTCGATGCCGCAGCTGGACAAGCGTGCTCGCAGGATGCTGATGCGGCTCTCCCTCGCGGACAGGCTGCTGGCCCCCTTCTTCTGTGCCTACTGGGATGGCAATCCTCTGCCCGGGAGCAGAAACCAGGCAGGAAGGAGGATCTTCTCGCGCACGGCAGCGCTGACGGCGGACTCTGCATGCGCACGGATCCAAGCCATCGTAGGAGGCAACTCCAGCCAGGAGGGCCCCAGGGTGCCCTTCCAGACCCTAACAGAAGGAGCACTCAGCGCCATCCTCATTGCTGGTCTCGGTGCGGACGGCGACACCGTAGGCACCAGCCAGCTCAGGGAGGCCGTCGACTCTTCCTGGCCCAATTTGCGGACGGACCGACCCGGCCTGGATACGCAGCAGCAGTCGCTTGGACAGCCCCCGACAGCCATTGCTCATCCCCCTGCCAGTACTGGTCGAGAAGTATCACCGAGCAGCCACCCAAGGCGCCAAACAACACCGGTGAGGCAGCCCTCCCGCACTGCCAACCACAGGAGCAGGCACAGCCGGGAGCCAGTGGGACAAGAAAACAGACGCATACACACAAGAAGTCGGAACAGGCAGCAGGGAGAGACTCAGCCAGTCAGACCGAGAGCTCGCTCGAGAGGCCGGGCATGTGCTTCCAGACCAGAAGAAGGCAACGCCCGCTCTCTCATTGAAATGTGGGAAGGGGCCAGGGAAGGTGGACGAGTTGCAGCGGATGTGCTGTCGGAACCGCCCAGGGGCATTACTGGGCACGCCTCCGGGGTCCAATGCCCAGGCGAGGGACAGAGAAGGGCGAGACCGCGAATCCAGGAGTCACAAGCAGCGGGACCGACCGCCGCGCCACAGCCAGTGGATGTCTTACAAGAAGTTTGGGCCCAGCACAGGGACCAATCCACCAGTCTCTCACCCGATGCTTCTTCGAACCACATCTTGGCCGCATACCAAATCGCTGGGTTGGATAACGATCTAATCCTGGAAACACTAAGGTCCCTCCACGAGCAGGGCACCGTCCTCCTAGGACCCGAGCACGCTGCCTGGGATATCTCGAGGAGGGTCCGGATTGACGAAGCAGGGGGAATGGACTTCACACAGCAGAGTGGCGTGGGAGTGCCGCGAGGGGACCTAGTGGCAGGCGGAGCTGAAGCCAGAGACGGCACGTACAGACACTTAGTCTCCCTCTTTGACGGATAGGGATTAGCTAGATTGGCCGTCGGGGATCTGATCCAGAAGCTGGCAGCTAACCACATGTTCCGGACATCTGCCTTCGTAAAGCACTCTAGGGAAGCTGCAGAAACGGTGACCAGATGATGGGGCGCCACGCCGGGCCCAGGCGATGGCGGGCCTCCACACACCCAGCTTGCAGCTGACGTGTGGGACCTGTTTCGCGAACGGAGTGACCCTGGCAGCAGAACACGGTGGGGGGCACGCGTAGACTCGTTGGAGCGAGGCAGCACACTGCTCATCTTGGCTGGCCCCCCATGTAGCAACCTGTCCGCCGCCGGCCAGTTCGGAGGATACGACGGCCTGGCGGGTGCACAACCGTACGGCTTCTTCGCGGTACCCGTTGCCTGGCACTTGGCAAGCAAGCGGCGACCAGATCTGAAGACACTAGTCCTGGTCGAAAACGTAGCCTCCATGCCGACAGCCCACAAGAAGGCCATCTGCGCTGCCATGGGAGACTTAAATCTGGACTGGGCGATAAAGATGAATGCGGCAGACTCGGTCGCCAGCCCAAGAGAGAGACTGTCGTTCGGAAACTTCCCACCTCCAGCCGACACCATATCCTACCCCAGGCTTCCGAGTCCATGGGGGCCCAGATGGGCATTCAGGCCTGGCGGTAGGATGCCCACCTGGACGCATTCGAGGGCACTGCCAGGAGACCTCCACACGAGCCTCCCCAGCAGCTATCAGACTCACCTACTTTATCTCCTGTGCGACGAGGATAGTAGACACAGGTGGTTCCTCAGGATTCCGCTAAGCTAAAGGACGGGGTGCACAACATCCTGATAGAAAGCAGGGCCGACGAACAATTCCCTGGCTGTCTTGAAGGACTGACGCTGGTGATGGCGGGGAGGGAAAGGGAGAGCCCAGCCGCAGAGGCAAAGGTCAAGGCCTGGGGGGGGTGGCTAGTCGACGAAGGGAGAGCGCGCGGACTAAGGCTTGCCAGCTACTACCGTTCTCTTGGCATACAGGGTAGACAGCTGTGCGACGCAGTGGGTATCCATTTCGATCCGAGGGGTCTGCGGCGAAGAATTGTCACTGCCCTGCGCGCTTGGAGTAGAGACGACTACGGGCAGGAAATCGGCGCGCCAGCCCCATCCAGGGACCAGATAGTCCAGGCCTGGGTAACGGCGAGGACCTTCGCTGGGGTGCAGTGCCCATGGGCCCACTTGCGGGAGCAGGCCTTCCCGGGCGACGTCGCGAGCCGGCTGCAAGCAGTAGATGGCTCCCACCTTGGCCCGCCGTTCCCCTAGACTCTGGCGAGGGCCCCGGAACGCTGCGCCAAGCGCTGGGGCCCCCTCCCAGGCACCAGCTGGTGCCAGGAATCCGCACTCGTGACTGGCAGTTGGCCTGCCACTGTCTCCATTCTACCCTGGAAGCGAACGCGCGGTCTGGGCTTCGCGGCCCCCGCAGCCCGTGGAACGCGCTGCGCTGCAGCCCGTGGAACCAGGCCACCTGGCAGACCCCCTGCGGAGACCGAACAGTCGACGACCTCATGCGCGCCCTAGAGGCGGCCCCGACGGGTAACCTGCCGAAGCTCGCCTGCTGGAATGTCTGATACTGTCGGAACGCCACG